CGAACGGACGTTCGTCCTTATTATTATGCCGTTTAAACCAATTATTTACATTTGTTTGTTAAATTCGGCATCATGTAAGTTGCGCTGACAGGTCCACACACTGCTTCCCCGCAGCGAGGCTCCCCCCGCCCTCCTGTTGACAGTTCACGAGCGTCGAGCTCCTCAACCCCCCCCCCCCCCCTCCCCCGTTGATAATTCACGATCGTCGGCATGCTGATAACAATTTTTTTTTGTAATGGCACTTCATATCAAAAACATAATTACATTTTTCCAACAGATTAAAATGCCTAACAAAGCAGCTAATAGTATTTGTTTTACCCAAATCTCTTGCAGATTTGGGTATTTTAGATAGTGATAATCAGAGTCATATGAATTCCGGTGGGACTGAGAGAAAGGGAAATCTTCTGTTGAAAAATGTTGGATTATCTCACAGAAGTGTGACGGTAATAAAGCTCCTTCATGTTTAATGGAGCTCTATAGCACAGAGGGAGGAGATGGATTGGGCTTCTTTAAATATTTCTCCAAGGTTAAACACAGAGTGCATTAAGTCAGATATTTCCAGTGCACAATGAGCTCTCTGATGATCCCGGTAATGAAAACATTTCATGCAGACATTAGCAGCAGTCATCACTATGAATAAATGTTTCATTGGAATCAGTTTCTTATTGCCTGACTGCTGTTTACCAGTATTTACTGCTCAGCCCGCCTCTTCTCTTTCCGCTGTTCACTGACTGACAGACAGACGCTTTGTCTGAGGGGTGTGTGTGTGTGTGTGTGTGTGTGTGTGTGTGTGTGTGTGTGTGTGTGTGTGTGTGTGTGTGTGTGTGTGTGTGTGTGTGTGTGTGTGTGTGTGTGTGTGTGTTGCTCAGCAGTGACTGAGGGAGGAGAATGAGAGGTCAAAGTTCTCCCTTCACAATGTAAACCTCCTCTTCCTTCTTTCTGCTCTGCCCTTTCACTTTTCTGTTCTTCATGTCATTTTGTCTCCTATTCCTCTTTTTTCTGTCTGCTTTCCTTTTTTCCATCCTTCAATCTTTCTCTCCTACTTTGTCCTTCCACCATTTTTTAAATCTTTTTCTTTTATTTATATTCCTGTTTGTTTTTCCTTTTTGTTTCAGATTCTCTTCTGTCTCTTCTCTGATTCCCCTCTCCTCTTCCTCTTGCCTCTTTCCTTTCTACCAACAGATCGGTGATCTACACACTTTAAGCAACGTTGGTGTTATGAAAATATTGTCTGTTTAGTTATTGAAGATACATTACATTTTGTAGTAGTTTTTGTATTTATTATTTGAAGTAGTTGATTTGTTGCACAATTAAGCACTTTATTTGCAGTATATATACATGTGTTAAAGATGTGAATAAAGTGTTTTGGAAAAAGTATTTCCATCCCTCCTCGTCTCTTTTCATCCCCTGCCCCCTCTCTTTTCCTTACCGTTTCCTTACTAAACTGCCTATTGTTATTTCTTTCCCCTCTCTTATTGTTTTCAGTCCTGTCCAATTTCTCTTTCCATGTCATCTCCTTCCTCTTTTTGTCTCCTATCATCTCTTTCCTTGTTTCCCTCTTTTCTCCCGTCCTCAATGTCTTCTTTCCTCCTTTCCTTGTCTGTCTCCTTGCCCTCCAGCCTCCCTGGTGCGGCTGCAGGTGGAAGTTGATTTTACACATTCATAAAAACAGGAAGAAACCAAATAAATGAGTGTCAGCAAAAGGTTTATAAGACAAAGCAGGTGATTTTCTCTGCTATGTATGTGCTCCGGGGTCTTTTCTGTTCTCGCTATAGCGCACTATTTCTACTACTGCCTGCCCCCAGAAAAATAAAACACACGCACACAAATTCACATTGTTCCCCCCCAGGAGCTGTCAGATGATAAAGAGATGTTGTCAGGGAATGATTCTCAGCCTCCAACTAAAAACAAGTAAAACATCAAACGCACAGAGACCACACCGGGACCTGGCCTTGTTTTCTTTCCTAATTTCTCCTCCACACAACTGTCTCTCCCACTCCTCCTCTAACGCTCCTCATTTTGTCTCTGTGCTGGGGAGCTATTTGATTTGTTCTGCCGTTTTAGAGCTCATATTGTTTCTGGTGTGTTGTTTTTATTATGACGGCTTTATTCATATCGGAGCCTTTGGCAGCACAGGTCCCGGTGTTGTGTCAAATGATGCACCCCCGTCGTCAAATGCACCCCTTGACACGGGAACGCGCATTTGAACGTATAGTCCGCTATTCGATGTTGTCTTTTTGATGGTCGGGTTGTGGAATCCTGGATTTTGCATTCACTCGTCACTTATTTTTCAGTTCATTTTTTATTTAATATATGTTTTTATTTAATTGTGACGTCCTGTCTGTATACTTGTGCTTGTAGTTGTGCTTTATAATGTATTGTTTATTTTTACATCAAGTGCTTGAGGGTGGGATTAATAGAAACATTTTTGTTTTGGGGGGTGCTTTTTATGAACAGCCTGGTTGCCACGATATGCACCCCTTGCTATCTCTGACAATAAACGTGTCACATACATGAAACTTGCTCCAGTTATTGGTACTAGTCCTACAACTATACCCTCCAAAGTGCTTGAGGGTGGGATTAATAGAAACATCTTTTTTGGGGGGGGGGGGGGTGCTTTTTACAGCAGGCCAGGGGGTGCATTTCACGACGGGGGTGCAAAATTTGACACAACACCGGTCCTGAGTCACCGGGGACCTAAAACAAGAAAGAGCTGCATCGGCTCAGTACATGGCATGCAGTCTGTGTGCAGTCTGTGTGTGTGTGTGTGTGTGTGTGTGTGTGTGTGTGTGTGTGTGTGTGTGTGTGTGTGTGTGTGTGTGTGAGTCCGTCGGTATGTGTGGCTGTGCTGACGTGGGAGGGAAAGATGAAGTGCAAGACTCAAATTATAACAAAAAGCTTCGCTCAATTTTCTTTGCAATCTCGGCCTGATCCCCGCAGGCGCGCACAAACACACACATCACACACTTGGCACTTGATGTTCATTAAACAATGAGAGACAAGTGTGTAATTTGTCATTCACCGTGTCTGTGGAAGAGGGAGCAGAGGATGTGTCCATTCATCACTGTGATGAAGTCAGACTGATGCCTCATATATTTAAACGCCTCTACCCCTTCAGTCATTGTCGGGATGACCCACAGACGGTAAGTCACAACCGCCGGGACACATCATCAACGAGTTAAAGGAACAACAGGGTCCGCCTGCAGCCCACAGGCCCGCTTTATGGGGGGGGGGGGGGGTCCTGTCCTTATTTCTGGCCAACATCTGCTTTTTCTCCAAACACAGGAAATGTAAGCGTACTATCTACTTGTAAGTGGATTTTTTTCCTAGTTTTTTTAAATAAAACATTTAAAGAGTTTGTTATGTCGATAACATGCACTGAAAAACTCAAACGTTATATAACTAAATGTATTATGTGAACAGATTTCACATAACTGTATTAGGTTAGTTAAAAGCAATAATATTAGGTTCAACCTAATATTATTGCTTTCTTCTAACCAAATACATTTATTTAAATCTGTTAACATAATACATTTAATTAAAGTCAACGTTTCAGTTTTTCCAGTGTGTTATATTGGTTGCTAGTTTTAGACAATTAAATGTTTTTTATTTTGACTATATTCCTATTAAAGAAATGGGTACCACTTTACAATAAGACTACCCTTATAAAGGGTTTACAAATAGTTTGTAATTCATTTATTAATTAGGTTGTGAACACTTTATAAATTATTAATAAGCTTTTATAAGACATGAGATAAACAGGGAATGAGTCCTTACCCCAAGTGAAAGAGTTCAAGTATCTCGGGGTCTTGTTCTCGAGTGAGGGAACAATGGAGCGTGAGATGGGCCGGAGAATCGGAGCAGCGGGACGAAAGGGTGTGACGAAAAGAGAGCTGAGCCAGAAGGCAAAGCTCTCTGTCTTCCGGGTCATTTTCGTTCCTACCCTCACCTATGGTCATGAAGGATGGGTCATGACCGAAAGAACGAGATTGCGGATACAAGCGGCCGAGATGGGTTTTCTCCGCAGGGTGGCTGGCGTCTCCCTTAGGGATAAGGTGAGAAGTTCAGTCATCCGGGAGGGACTCGGAGTTGAACCGCTCCTCCTTCGTGTCGAAAGGAGCCAGTTGAGGTGGTTCGGGCACCTAGTAAGGATGCCACCTGGGCGCCTCCCTAGGGAGGTGTTCCAGGCACCTCCAGCTGGGAAGAGACCAAGGGGTAGACCTAGGACCAGGTGGAGGGATTATATCTCTTGGCTGGCCTGGGAGCGCCTTGGGATCCCCCAGTCAGAGCTGGTTGATGTGGCCAGGGAAAGGAACGTTTGGGACTCTCTGCTGGAACTGCTACCTCCGCGACCCGACCACGGATAAGCGGGAGAAGATGGATGGACGGATGGATGGAGATAAACAGGGCAACTGTGACCGGTTGCTTGCCAAATAGTGAGCCCACATTTATCTGTACTGCTAAGCCTTATTATAAATGGTAGTATCTCATTAATAAATGGGAATGTGTTTTACACTTTACAAGGCTCCCTTTTGGCAGTTATAAATGTTAGTAACTCATAAATAAATGGTCATAAAGAGATGCCAAGAAACATCAAGATGGAAGGGGGGGGAATCCACTCAGTGAACAATAGATACCAAGGATGCTGGCTGATGAAGAAGACGAAGTAAGCTAGGTAGCCAATATAAGGCTTAGTCATCTTGCCAAATAGTGAGCCTGTGTTGATGTATGAAAACTATGTTAGAACTGGTTTATAAATGGTTCTTAATGATTAATAAAGTGTTTACAACCTAATTAATAACCTAATTATAAACCCTTTATGAATCCTTTATAAGGGTAGTCTTATTGTAAAGTGGTACCAAGAAATGTATAGGTGGATATTTGAGCTGTAAATCAGGAAAAGTCGATGTCATAACATGTTAGTCCATAGTTTAACTTTATCAATTCAGCTAGCGTAGCTCATTAGCATGCTAAAACATGTATTTTTTAAGATGCCATTATAAAATGTACCAAGCTTTTGATATTTTCTTTATTTGTTACAACATTTTAGTAAGCCAATTATAAGGGTTTGGAGTATGTTTCTATACATCCAGCAGTTTAATAATGTTGCCGGCAAAGTTGATAAAGTTGTAGCTAGTTAGCTTGGGATCGTCATTATCTGAACTGAGTCAGGTAAAATAAGCAGTTACATTGAATTGATGAATGAAATCAATAAATCAACAGTGAAATGAAATGAAAGACTCAAACAGTAAGAAACATCATAGAAGCAGTGTTTGTGTGACGCTAACAGCCCAAAATGCTAACAGTGGTTCGCAACATGCTTGCAGCCTAATGCAATTCATTAGCATGGTACAGTATTACAGTGAAGTGCAGAATGGAAAGAACCGGAGAAGCCGTTGTATTGACTGTTCACACCTTCTTCTCATATGGCTAACGTTGCTCCTCTGCTAACACTGTAGGCCAACAGATAAATGGAAAGGTAGCATAGCTAGGTTCTTGGTAAATATGTGTAGCCTCTTGATAAGGTTAAGCTGACGTTAACTGTGCAGGCTTAATTTAAATATTCTGTATTTTATATGTTGGATTGGGTTATGTTGTATGCCAGCCATTGCAGTCATTGTTGGAAAGAGTTTGTGGACACTTGTTTTTTTCTGTAAATAGACATCTATGTTGTCAGAAATGTATTTTCACTACTGATGACTAAAGTTAGGAGGCTGACGTTTTCTATTCAGCTGCCCTCAATATTTTCTTTTGCTAACACACCTTGGCCTGCTAAGGTTTTTGTGCTAACAACCGAGCAAGCCACTCAAATGAACATATTTTTTTACATTATGCTTATTGGTTGATGGCAGCATGTGCACACCAACCACAGATAGGTCTCTTGTGCTCACAGGACTTCAATACACCACGGCAGCTGCAGTCACACCACGTTGAACAAAGTGCAAGTTTCAAAAGAACAAAAGAGAACAGAAGTGAGGAATCAAGAGGATGCTACTGACAAAATGAGAAGTCCATGTCTTCACTATGTCTCCTATCATTTTATAGCCATCAGTCCAGGATTGTTGCAAGGTCCATCATATGTGAGCGTGTGCATGTACGTGTGTGTGTGTGTGTGTGTGTGTGTGTGTGTGTGTGTGTGTGTGTGTGTGTGTGTGTTTGTGTGTGTGTGTTCTCTGTATCCCCGGTCCTACCCCCAGCTGAGGGAGGTGGAGAGGAGCAGGAGGAGCAGTAGCACAGCGTTGGGGGGGGCGGTGAGGGGGGCCACCCCGCCCGTGCCCCCGGAGCCCAGGTTGGAGACAGTGGCCCTCTCTGAGTACGGCGGGATCACATCAAACTGGCCACCTTCTTCGCCCTCCTCTTCTATCTGTGTCAGGGGATCTTCCTCACTGTCCACCACCTGAAGGAAAGAATATGTGTTAGTGAAAACCTATGGAGCATTTCCTCATTTAGATTGACAATGCCTAAGAACAGCATATACAAGCATCTTACTACGGTAGGAAATGTTCCACTAAACTCTCAGATCGAAGATCATCTGAGTTCTTCAGGCAGATATTGCACTAAAATCACTGTTGGTAGTTCATAAGGTTGGGTGGTTGGGCGGAGGAGGCAGAAGAAGTTAGGGTTGCTCTGAGTTCTTAATGTTTCATGAGCCTCGTCTCTAGGCAAGGCAATTTTATTTATATAGCACCTTTCAACACAAGGCAATTCAAAGTGCTTTACAAAAATAAAAGACGTTAAGAGCATTCAGAAATAGTGCAGCGGAAACACGTTATAAAATGAAATTTAAAAACAGTCATTAAAAAGCAAAGATAATAAAAAACATGAATAACACAGGTATAACATATGTCTATTAAAGCCTCCCAGAGACCTTATTAAGTTTCCCAGAAACTTCCCTTTCTTTTTCAGATTCCCTGAATCTGGATTTTAAACCTATTGTTTTTAGATTCCCTGATTTCAGACATCACTTCATCGAGACATCTAGATATCCCACTGTTGATTATTCACATTATTCGGGATAAATCAATAAAACTAAAATAAACAAGACAACTCGTATTACATTACTTTGAACAGAATATCAAGTTTAAAATGTGAACTTTGATATGAAAACTAAAAGTTGATTCGGATGAGCACTTATTTGGGAAAGTAGTTAAAAAGGGCAATTGAAATGGACTTTTATTCAAATAAAAAGAAACGGACAAAAGTTATAAAATGTCCGTGGCGTAAAGGTGACTCATCTTCCTGAGACGTGCAAGCACAGATTTGACCAATTCATCATAAGTTCTCAAAATGAACCATCATCTTCCTGTCTAATCCTTACTAAATTGATTTGTGCAAACAATCACAGCTTTGTAAAATCCTAAATCAGATTTATATTTTATTATTTTAAACGAGACAAATTAGGTCCTTTTGATGATATGGTTTAGGATCAGAAAACAATTTGTCTTTTCAAAGGACGTTTAAACACTTTTTCTCATTTTATTTGAGGATTTAGTTTATATTTATTTCAGAGGGCCATGTATATGTATATATATATAGAAATAAGTCCTTTTAGAAATGTAATTATCACAATTTTTAAACTTAACCGAATCACAAAGAAGTCATCTAGCTTTGAGGAGCTACAAATATAGAATGAGGTTTGTGTTGATGTTTGATCAAAGATCTGACATCAGGCCATGTGAGAGCACTTTGATCAATCTGAGTCTTTATTTAAAACTTTTAAGCTGTTGCTGAATATGATTCACTGCAGTGTTATGGCTGCTGAGTGTTGAGGAAGCCCAGCTGTTCAGCCTGAATGATATGCACCAACATCTGGAGGAGCCCAAGGCCCGCGTTACGTTGTTGAGCGCAGATTGTTCTTATGCTGATAATAATACGGGATTCTATCATCTCAATGAAATATGATTCTGATACCTGCTCGTTTCCTGGTGTTCCAGTTTATTTACTGACTTGCTTTGACACATTTGAAACTTTCCATCATCTCGTCCAACAGTTGCAGAAGCTGTAAACCAGTCAGTTGTGTTGCTGTGCCTCGGGGCCCAGACACAGATTATGGCCTCCTCACATTTGAAGAGTGATGCGAACTATCTTTTTGTGCTTGACAAACATTTCAAATGGATGTCATAATGTAAAGGAAGAGCAACTTCTTTTTAAACTTTTCTCCAGTCTGTGCAGTTATTTTAAATACTAAGAGTCTCGTAACCTTTCCTCTAATCTTTTGCTTTTTTGTGACACAGGTTATGGAGGGCAGAAAAAGGCTTAAATATTCTGTTGATTGGAGTCAAGGAGACATACTTGAGTTATTTTCAGGACCAGCTCCTATCCAGGGACCATTTATGTGTACAAATTAGGGCTGTCAAGTTAACGCGTTAACGCAAAAAAAAATTAACGCCACTAATTATTTTAACGCGATTAACACATGTGTATTTTTTGTCCTCGGCCGCCCCGTAGTTTCAGAGCGCATCGAGTTTGAAATACCATCTACAAGCTGATGCTGACAGCCCCGCTCCTGCCGCCCGCTTGTGGCAGACCACACTTCCACGCTCACCGGCAGGCCCGGACTGGCCATCGGGAGGACCGGGAGGGTGTGTGTATGTGTGGCGCGACTCGCGAGCGAGGCACACCTTACGTGTTGTTGTTAGCATCTGGTGCTAGCTAGCTGCGCTAACGGATATAAGGAGCTGTTTCAATGAAAACAGAGGAGCGACATTTCGCCGACAACTGCGCCGAGCACTTGACTTTATGCAGGTAGCCAGACAGTGGGACATTGTACGAAAAGTCAGCACACTCAGCACGGATAGTGCGCGCAACATGATTGCAGCGTCCAGGCAGCTCCCGTTCAAGCATATATGCCTTGAGCTGCACATAGCTCCAACGATCCATCACAGTGTCTCCACACACACACACACACACACACACACACACACACACACACACACACACACACACACACACACACACACACACACACACACACACACACACACACACACACACACACACACACACACACACACACACACACACACACACACACACACACACACACACTATTGTATTATTGTATAAGAGAGGTTCCAGGTTTAATTGAGGCGAATATTTGTAATGTGTGTTTAATATTCATGAGAATATTTGTCATTGTTCAAATGATAATAAACAAACATATAAAGCATATTTGTCCACTCATATGTTGATAAGAGTATTACAAACTTGAAAAATATCCCTCTAAGGTACATTTAGAACAGATAAAAAATGTGCGATTAATTTGCGATTAATCGCGATTAACTATGGACAATCATGCGATTAATCGCGATTAAATATTTTAATCGACTGACAGCCCTAGTACAAATACATGGTTGTTACAGTTAAACACATATCTGAAGTGCAAGACACTACAGCATTTCAGAAAACGCTTTTTGAAATGTTGCAGTGTTTTCTGAAATGCTGTGGTGTCTTGCACTTCAGGGCCACCGTACATATCTCTTCAAATGGGAAAATTGCCAGGCTGCTGGTCCCACCTCACTCCAATGTAGCATTTAAAACAAAGAGCATTCATTTGCGTTTCTAAATTTGATGTTTGTCTTCGCTGCCTGAGAGGATACTGAAACCTTTTAAATTCACTTTAGAGCAGGGGTCGGCAACCTTTTTGATATGAAGTATCATTACAAAAAACGATCGTGAATTATCAACGGGGGGGGGCTGGAGCTTGACGCTCGTGAACTGTAAGCGCAACACATTTAAATAATTGGTTTAAACGGCATAATAATAAGGACGATCGTCCGCTCTGTGATTCTCCAGAACACACATGTTATGATATTAGGGTCAGGCAGAGTGAGATGAGATCGCTGTCCCTTTGAGAGAGAGAGAGAGGGGTGTGGCGTGTGCATGTGTGTGTGGATGGTAGAGCGAGAGTGAGCGAGCGTGTGTATGTTTCTGGAAGTGAAACGAGGCAGCAGAAAAACAGAGGTCTGTGATGTATTTTGTGAAACAGAAGAACAACTAAATAAATGCAACGGCCTCCCAAGAAGAGCTCGCCTCTCTCCAGTCATTTTAGCTAAAGTGGGTTATTGAACCTGAAGCTTGTTGCTTCTGCCCTGGGAGACGACAGAGAGTCATCCCCCCTGTTTCCTCGACTACGGTCTGGGAGCCGACAGGAAAGTTCAACACACAGATGGCCAGTCCGCCCCTTTGTAGCATATTATTTCAATGAGAGATGAGCAGATCGCCACTGGGCTTTCAACTAAAGACACAGCCACGCAAAAACTGCAGCATTTGTACAGCTCCTTATGGGTACTGCAATTTGTGAAGTGCTTTCCTCTGTGGTGAAACGATCAGCCCTGCACCACGGAGGAAAGCGTCAGAAAGTCGCCTGGAGTTAAACAGAGCGGGGCTGCGCTGCGTGCATGGCTTCCTTCTGCAGGTAACAGGGAGACGCGCTCTGGCGGCGGTCTCGTTCAGGATCCGAAAATACAATTTAAATATTTTGCACACTTATTCCACTTATTCCTAGTGTGCCACTGGTTACGGTGCCGCATGCCAATGGTGCCACGGGTGCCAGGGGTTGCCGACCCCTGCTTTAGAGGAACAAGCCGAAGCCAAGACAAGCGGCAGAGTGATGGACGGATGAGGAGATGTAGTGCAGGTATGGATGGTTGTGGTGGTGGGGGGGTTGGGGGGCAGAAGTGAAGGCTTCAGGATGAACAGAAAGAAAATAATGTATGATTAAAATAAGAAAGAGGACGGATGGAGGAAAGGACAGAAGAAGGTAAGTGGGGGATTTGGGGAAGGAAAAGAAAGAGGGGGAGACATATGGGCTTGAATAAATTCATACTAATGAAGCCTGACTGATGCTCTGCTTCCAACCAACACCTCATCTAATCCGCTCTCTGGGAGAGAGACACAGAGAGGGAGCGAGGGAGCGAGCGGAGGAGGGCATCTCAGGGAGGGAGAGAGCTGGAATCCCCTCTTGTCTGGCGGCCCAGATTATCTCTGGCAGTGAGGCATGCTGGGAGCCAGGGAGCCACAGCCACAGCAGATTGTGGTCTGGCCAAGGGTACAGTGGCCAGGACCGCAATTGGATTGGACCACATTTAACGGTCAGTGTTGGACAAGGGCAGCCAGGAGCTGGGGAGCTCTCAGAACATATGTGTTCAGAATATTCCTGCACGGCTGTTCTGCTGAGAGTCCTGACAGGAATCAAATTAAAAAGTCTGTGACGCCTGATTGGTTGGGACAGGATAGTCTGAATGACAGTTTGAACATTTGTTTGGTTTGACACTGATGCCCTCACCAGCTAAGCACAAAATACCAGGAAAATGTATGACTTGAAGGATCCCTTGTTTGCAGAGGTGGGAGTACGTCCTACATGTGCAAGTCATGAGCAAGTCTCAAGTCTTGACC